TACCATAAAATTGAGTCCAAAACAAGTTTCAACTCCCAACTCCCAATGGGCTTCCAAAATATAACTTCAACATGACATAGGATTCCAATAATATTCCAAATTTGAATTCTTCATGATGTGTACTTCAATTAAAATTTTTCAATTATTTCAACAAGGAATCGAGTCACACCCAAATTTTAACATTTGCCAAGAGTGGCAGCTTTTGCTGTCCCTCGCTTATCGTCTGTGTGTTGCTTGAGTTTCGGAAATAGAGAGCCTGTTGCTTGCTTGTCGCTCGAGCGCTAGGTGAGCGATGGAGTTAACTAAATTCCCGGCCAATATTTCCCTATTTTCTATCTATCTTTGAACCGCAATTTCTCATTCATCTGGAATTGATTTTGAGATTTCAAATATACCATAACGATTTACTCGATGAGTAGAACAAATTAATCTATTTATTTTTATAATATGACTATCGCATCAAGTCCGAATATTTGATCGAAGCTGACACGAGAGTCATTTTTTCACGATTTTAATACTTAATGAATTCGAACAAGTGACCAACAACATATCATTATTTAATTCAGTGAATGAATGAGTCACAAATACTTAATTAACCAATTTGAAATTCCACTCAAATATTAGTGTTCGCTCTCAAAAATAACTCGTATATATAAATAGAGGGGTCAATACACTAGATTCTACAAATACTAAAATAGAATAAATTTATTCTTTTGAAAATAACATAATAATCAACATTGTCGACTTTTCCTTTCATCGCATTGTTTTCTTTGCATCCAACCAGGTCAGTGTTAATACATTTTTAAAAATAAAAAAATTATTAACACGATAAATTCAGTTCCAGAGTTGAAAATCCATGATTTTGGTTCAAGAACCAAGGAGCGTTGAAATCCAATCAATTATGGATTTCTGATTCTCACTTTTTTTTAAAAAACTAAACCGGAACCTTCGATTGTTATTCAAAAGATTTAATTTCGATGAAAATGTGTATCCCAGTACCGAGGGCAAACCAACTGCACAAAGAGTGTCACAACTAAGCCAAAACACCTACATTTTGCCCACCAAAAGTCAAAAGCTGATGGCGACTCATCAGAAAGTGAAAGCAAACTGTGCAAGATAAATAACCATGCGGTCCATGCCCCATTCAGACAATAAATTTATTACACTGTAAACTTATCGTACCATACAGGAAAAAAAGGAAATCATAAGAGAATTTGAAGTCTTAAAATGAAATTAATGGTGTCCCCCACGTGGCAGATAAGGAATGTGAAATTCCCGCAAAATTATATGGAGAATAAAGGGCGTATTAAGCTGGAATCTTTCTTTATGATTTTGCTTTTCTTTTTACAGTTCAGTCCATGTCCATTAAAGCTTCGAAAGCACTGTATAATTGTATGTATATGTATATATATATATATATATATATATCATGTTTGGCGCACATTCTTTTAAAACTTATTTTCAACCACACATTTTTCAATAAAATAATATTTTTCATCACATCAATAACTTTTCTTTATTTTCTAAACACATATTTCTCATCGTATCACTATTTAAAATATATTCTTTTCTCCGAAATATTCATCAATCACTAATGTACCATAAAGCTTACTGTCGGTTAAAACTCAGAGAGTTTCATAAAACCCATGTCACTAAGTTGTATTTGTCTGTCAATTGTAAATTTTCATGTGCAAATTTTAATTGATCCATCCCACAAATCAGGTTTTCAAGTAGAAAAGTTCAAGGTTTAAGAATCTTGAAATAGGAAGGCCTAATTTGAAGTTTGAGGTTGCTTCATTTGAAGGTAATTAAATAGTTTGTGAAGTACACAAATATTTAATTTGAGGAGTGTTTTACAGTTATTGATTTTGTTTAATCTTTTGCTTCTGATTTTCTTAAGGTAATTCATCAGAAGTTTGTTCTTGGAGGATTAAACTTGGATAAAGGTATGTGGATTTGCTGAATTTCATCTGTATTTTGATCCTTAATTTTGTGATTTTCTCATATTATTACAAGACATGTCTTTATTGTGTTCTGCATTTACTATAAATGCAGGCTTTCATTGGAGAGTATCCAAGTTCTGATTCACAAATTTATTGAACAATAAATTTTATACCTCTGTAGTTTCTAGCTGATGGCAGAAAAATTAAGCCATATAAAATTTCTTATTTTGCTTGTCCTCTCAGTATCAGTCACCTGTACAGAGCAATTTCAATCATCACAANTTTATACCTCTTTAGTTTCTAGCTGAAGGCAGAAAAATTAAGCCATATATAATTTCTTATTTTGCTTGTCCTCTCAGTATCTGTCACCTTTACAGAGCAATTTCAATCATCACAAGCACAAACCCTATTGAGAATTCAACTCCTCCTAAACAATCCACCCTTTTTGAATAGTTGGGATAATGTCACAGATTTTTGCAACACAGAACCGAGGTCGACTCTGACTATCGTTTGCTACGAAGGTAGCATAACTCAGTTGCACATTATAGGAGACGAGGGGGCTCCTCGATTACCTAATAATTTCTCCATTGATTCCTTTGTTACTACACTTGTTAGGCTTCCGAGTTTGACAGTCCTTAGATTGGTTTCTCTCGGTTTATGGGGACCGTTGCCTAGTAAACTTACGCGTTTGTCATCGCTAGAAATACTAAACTTGACTTCAAATTTCTTTCATGGCACTATACCGCCCGAAATTTCTTCATTGACACGCCTTCAGACCCTAATACTCGATTGGAATAACTTTACCGGCGGACTTTCGAATCGCCTGGATTCACTTTCAGCTTTGGCCGTGTTGAGTGTGAAGAACAATTCTTTATATGGGTCTCTGTCCGATTCACTCGGAAATTTGGAAAACCTCAGAGTCCTTGCATTGTCGAACAACAAATTCTCCGGTGAACTGCCTGATCTTAGCAGTTTGGTTAACCTTCAAATTCTTGATTTGGAGAATAATGCTCTCGGCCCTCGATTTCCTGCAGTCAGTAATAAGATTGAACGAATTGTGTTGAGGAAAAATAAATTCACATTCGGCATTCCACTGGAAGTTCAATCCTATAATCAACTTGAGCATCTAGATATATCGTCCAACCGATTTGTGGGACCTTTTCCAGCTTCCTTGCTATCCCTACCATCGATTGCTTATGTAAATATTGCAGATAACAGATTCACAGGCAGGCTTTTCGAAGATCTTCCTTGTAATCCCAGTCTCGATTTTGTGAACTTCACTTCAAATTTGTTGACTGGAAAATTGCCAAGCTGTTTACTTCTAGGTTCCAGGAAAAGGGTCGTGTTATATGCTGGGAATTGTTTGGTAACGGGAGATAATAATCAGCACCTGATTTCATTCTGTAAAAACGAGGCTCTAGCTGTGGGAATCATACCTCATCACGAGAAGCAAAAAGTAATTTCCAAAATAGCTATAGCTTTAAGCGTAACCGGAGGAATTATTGGGGCAATTATACTAGTTGGTATAGCCCTTTTGGTAGTCAGAAATTTTATTGCACAGAGAGCTGTACATAAACCCCCAACAAGATGTGTAGAAGAGAATGCATCGACTAGCTACACCTCAAAGTTCCTCCGAGATGCAAGTAAGGGGTTTGAATTTGAAATTATTCATTTGTTTCTCTTTTTATCTTTAAGATTGAAACACCGAACCTTGCTTGTTTTCACCTGATGCCTCATCTTAGGGTATATACCCCGAGCAACAAAGCTAGGTGCACTTGGCCTTCCTGCTTATAGGACGTTTTCGCTGGAAGAGCTCGAGGAGGCAACAAACAACTTTGATACATCGACTTTCATTGGAGAAGGAACTCATGATCAGGTAAGGCAATAGATTTTCGCAAGTACGCCTAACTTTTATATCTGTTCGTGTTCATCAATTCTAACATTCATTAAATTATGAAATGTTGGTAAAAGGGCGTTCACGAGTTACCTCTTTTGTCGACTTAGATGTACAGAGGTCACTTGAAGGATGGCTCCTTCGTCGCAATTATATGCCTGAAAATGAAAAGAAACCATGGCATTCGACACTTTATGCCTCACATAGAATTAATGTCAAAACTCAGACATCACCATTTGGTCAGCTCTCTCGGACACTGCTTTGAGTATTACTTGGACGATTCAAGCGTTAGCAGTGTATTTCTCGTCTTTGAATACATGCCCAATGGGACTCTCAGGAGCTGGATATCTGGTAGATCCATAGATTTACACATCTTTGTGAATCTATTCATATTATAAGTGATTTAAATTTTATAATCTGGGAGCAATAAAACTTGATCCATAGTGTTAACACAGTAAATTTCAGCTATACAATTTTGTATCTAACAGTTTGCAATCGTTCAACGTCTTATTTGGCAGAGAAGCAGATTAAACGAAAACTTACCTGGGCACAGCGCATCGCAGCTGCGATCGGGGTAGCAAAGGGTATCCAATTCCTGCATACGGGAATTGTGCCCGGTCTCTTTTTGAATAATTTGAAAATAACAGATATTTTATTGGATCAGAACCTTGCTGCAAAAATTTGCATCTACAACCTGCCTTTGCTAGCAGAGTATATGGGAAAAGTATGAAGAAAGAACTCTCTCTGTTGTATTTTTAATGTATTTTTCTTTAACATGCTAACTCAATGCTAAAATCTGCTCAACCTCACAGGATCATCTCCAAAGTTTTCACAGTGAATCGAACGATTTAAAGAGTGCAAGGTTAGTTCTTCATTTCATCGAAGAAAAGTGTACTTTTATCATTCAAATTGGAAAGTGTAAGTCTAGAGCTTTTGTTGAAACTCAGAAATTGTTGATTTGCAGAGCAAATCATCAGGACAAGTTCGATATTTATGACTTCGGTGTAATACTGCTAGAAATTATTTCGGGGAAGGCATTAAATTCGAGGAACAAAGTCGAGGTTCTAAAAGATCAGGTACGTAATTGTCTATATCACTGTTAATCTTCGCAGGTATAACAGTCCTAGCACATTTGAGATTATGATGATTTTCACAGCATTTTGATACTGTTTTGATGTTTTCAGTTACTTTCCAGCATAACAACCGATGCTGCATTGAGAAAGAGCGTCGTTGATCCAGTGATCAACAGTTCAGGCTTGGATGAATCATTGAAAACGATGATCGAGGTATGCTGCAGGTGTTTGCACAATGATCCAGCTGATAGACCTTCTATCGAAGACGTACTATGGAATTTGCAATTTGCTAGCCAGGTACAGGATGCATCGAGAAGAGACTCCCAGAGCAGTGATGGCTCCCCGATTTCACCTATGCAATCCTCGCGCTTAAAGCTCACTATCAAACAATAGATGAAGTTTCCTTGCGTGCTCCTTTTTGGATAACACCAGAATACGGATCAACACCACTCTCAGGTGTTTCCTTCTTACATTTCAAGATCTAGACACGGATTGTTTTCATGAAAACTTGTCGATTTTTTCAGTTATTGGGAAAAGATGAGGTTTTAGCATAGATTCAGTCAGTGAAAACAACAATGAGAATCGTCATGTTACATTGTAACATAACATTAGACAAGTATACGTTTAAGACCATTTAAGTGTTTCGATGTTACCTCCATGATTGAAAAACCAGTAAATGTCAGAGAGCTCAACTAGAAGTAAAGATCGAAATTTAAACATGGCATCTTCTTCAGCACGCTTATAGGGAACTTCTATCTGCATTCCAACTCTACATGAATACGGTTGGAATTCAAAAATTAATTCCTTTCTAACAGCGACCAATCCTCTACGTTTGGCAGCAGCAGATAAGTTCGTAAACTACTCACTAGGAAAGATAAAAGAAGCTCTAGACTTTATCCCTATAATACAAGACTTGAACTTCATCAGATGTACATTGGTAATCTCACAAGGCCTAAGTTCTATTTAACTCTCAGCGTTTCCTAAAGGAAAATGGGGGAGTTCAAGAAGGTTAATTCAGCTAGTAAAAGTAAAGCATAGAAATATAAGAATTGTACCACATATGTGACGGTTTGATCATTTCCCACTTGTAGTGAGCCATCTTCTCCAACTTTTCTGCTAGAGAATTATCAACTTGTGTCGACATAGGATGACTAAGCACCTCACATTGCTATAAACCAAAATATTGATACCAGTAAATATTTCAACTCAAACTTGCATTAGTCATCATCTCGTCTATCAGAAAAGAATAAACTCCTGCCATCTTTCAACAACCACTATGTCCAGAGGCAATATAATCTGAACAAATCCTAGGCCAAATAATCAATGCTCATACCACATGGTGGTAAAATCTTGCTCAAAACTGCTGCAGAACTATAATTATTGAAACT